CCCTCCAGATCATGCCTGAGCCAATAAATGTATTTATTTCTAAATACTAACTGAAACACGTGTATAAAGGCCTGTGGGTTTCTTCCTCTGCAGTGTTCAACTTCATGTGGGAATGGCATTCAGACACGGCAGGATTTCTGCCTCAACCCGCTAACCCGTAAGCACGTGAACCCCATCTTCTGCAGGCACTTCCCCAAGGCCATTGTGGTGCGTGGCTGCTCTGCAGGGCCCTGTCCTGAGCAGGCGGTGGGGACCGGGTCCCGTGGAGCAGAACTGCAGACAGTGACACCAGCCGCGCATCTGACGACAGCTGCAACTGCCAAAGAGGCGAGATACAAGGACCTGGATCTTCCTCCATCTGCTGTGCCCGCTGTGCCTGAGGAACAGACAAAGACCAGGGGAGGTGAGCAGGACACTACCAAAAGGTAGAGATAGGTGCTTACTGCGTGCAGCTGGGTTGTGGTGACCCTACTGCCATACAGGGACAGGAGCATGGGAAGGGAATACTTCTCGTTAGGAGGGACAACATGCTGTTCCTTCCAGCATGCTACGAGCTGTCCACGTTAGCTGAGATAGGAACAACGACTCCCTTCCCTGGGCTTCCCAAAGCTCTTCTGACTCCTTGGGGCAGCAGCTGACTCCTCCTGTGCTTTACCCAGGAGGTGTGCACTTGTCTGTTCGTTGTGCCATGAAGGGAATGGGGGCTGTTTTTCAGCAGCTGTAGTTCCTTCTGGATGTGTTTCTCATCTGTCTGTGCTGTGCAGGTGTCTGTGGAAAGCTCTTTCTTAATGCCACCGGGGTCATCAACATGATGGGTGTAGAGAGCAGCGACTGCACTGTGGCCATCGGACGTCCTCTCAGGGAGGAGATAACAATCAGCATCCTGGAGAGCTCCCTCAACTGCAGTGCAGGTACTGCCCAGGGCGCGCTGGGGACTAGCCTGGCCCTTTGGGAAATCTGCACCTCTTTTGCCCGTGTGCTTTTGGTGCCCTGAAAGGTTCTCGCTGCCTTGGAGCCTGTGTAATCTCTCAAACCATTTTACAAGTTTTTCTGTCCCACCAAGTCGTTGCCAGATGGGACTAGATGAAGATGATGCCTTTCCTCCCCCTACATAATGGTTTCTTACCTGTTTTGTTGACAGATACGAGATGAAAGGAGTTTATGGGGTTAAAGAAGCTGCTTGCTTTGGCCTGTTATAAACTCTCTCTGTAATATACCCTCTTGCTGGAATCAGTACAGTTAGATTAGTTAACAGGACTGTTTTCATGACAGATTTTGATAAGATAGGGACAAGATGCAGAAATTACTTGATTCCAGACCTATATAAGATAGGTTGCAGCCTTTTACTTGAAGTAAAGGTGTTTCTAGTCCCTGTGCTCATCCATTCCAGGTGAGGTAGTGCTGTTTTCTGGGCGAATGATGTGGCGGACAGGCTGCAGGAAGCTCCCTTTGTCACTGATAAATTCCAGAACGAATACACTGATTGTGAAACAGCGCGTTTTGCTGCCAGGAAATGGGGTCATTCTTCAGTACAACAGCAGAACTGCAACTAAAAAATATTACCAAGGTACCTTACTGAAAGCTTTGCTTTTGCTTTAAATTAAGGCACCCATGACAAGGCCCACAGAGTTCCGTGGATCATGGTTGCCTATGGAAATCTATGGAAACCTTGCTTCATTTTTAGCAGCTAATAAGCCCCTTCTTGAGGAGTGTTGGAATTCATATTACTTGTGGACTACCCCTCCGTTTTAAAGGCAAGCCCCCTGCAGGTGTTTGCTGATGCTTGGAGGTTCCCAGATGAAAATCCTTAGAGAAACTTTTCTGCCTGTGTTTAATTTAAATGATTTCTTTCTTGGAGATGCTGCACACTTCTCTAAATCATTTTCTTTTCTGCTCCCTTTCCCCCTCTCAGACTGTGACAAGCAGCTGTTTGGTCCCCAAGGTGAAATAGTGAATCCGGTGCAATTGCCTGATCAAAGGCAAGAAGTAGTGTGTCGGACCTTCATCAATGTGGCTCCTTGGCATCGCATAGCTATCCGGGCCCTATATATTGACCTGGGCAATGAGAGCAACCAAACACATTTTAATTACATCCTGGTGAGTCAGAAACCTAAAGGGGATGATTTGGATGGGAACGGACCCATCTCCTCATTAGAGATTTCCATCCAGATGCAAAGTTCAGTCACAAATCCTAGAGGGTCAGACTCTGATCTCTGTTATGTAAACGTAGATGTGAATGGGCACCACTGATGTCTTCTGTATTTCTTCTAACATTTGTATAGGGCAGCTTTTCCCCCCGAGTGGCCAATTTGCAAGTCCCCAGTATTTTGTGGGTACTTCACTTGTAGGCTGCTGTGATATAATGGTTTGGCCTTTCTTCATGCAGGTCCGTGATGTAAGCACCATGAAGACGATGGTGTTCCATGGGAAACAACAATTCTTCTGGCAATCAACAGGAAGCCAAGCTGAAATTGAATTTCATGAAAATGTTAAGGATCACCGAACCAGTTTCTGGGCTGAATATCACGCTATTGAGCCTGAATAAAAGGGGCCAGGGCCACTGCACTGAGAAGGGCCGTGGTCCAGTTACTCACTGCTGCCTGTTCACTGCTCGAGGTCACACAAGTCATTTAATCTTTTTGCCACGGCTACCCCACCTATTGAGTAAGAACAATAATGTCTACTGACTCATTTGGGATCTCAGTTAATACTTACAAAGGTTATGCAAAAGACATGTAACTACCAAATACTTAGCAAATAGTCCTCATGCGGATTTTCTGTCTGTGTTGATTGGTATTAATGCAGTTTACACGTCTGCAGTTAGCGACCTGGACACTGAAGTCTCAGGGTTCTGCTTCTGTAATACGCTGTGACCTTTTAGGATAGTCATTTAATTTCTCACTGACTCAGTCTCCCATTACAAACCTCCGTATACCACAAGTAGCTACGGTTATGGTTTAGCCATCGAGATCACTCTCCCGCGGTGTAAATGCCCCTTAAAACTGAGGCCCATTGAAATTCTGGAACGTTACAAAGAAGGCAAAGATGTGTATGAGGACGAACTGCTAGCACAAGAAGTCTAGAGCCGTGTGTGAGGGCGAGGCAGTTTCTCTGCCCAGGAGGGTAGTGCAACACTAGGACGGGTCGCTCGGAAAGCTTGAATGTTTTCAGGTGTTGGCTAGACCAAGGCACTGCTGACCTGGTCAAGCCTTGGTGACAGTTGGCTTTATATGGCAGAACTAAATGACATCCAGAGGTCCCTCCCCAGCCACCCCTTCCGTGGTTCTACTATTATATATCTGACAGTGATACCAGTACTTCTTTTCTATGGGAAAATAAAAGAATTCTGTCTCTTAATGACGGGTTTGGTGCCAAGACATATTTACTCAGATAAGAGCAGTAGCTGTGCTATTAATCTGCTTGTATCTTCATCTCACAGGAACTGTGCAATGAGAGATTGTTGAGACTGCATGATACAAGTTGTAGCAGGAAGAGGTGTTTTAGAGCAGTGACAAATATTCACTCAAGTTTGATTTAAATACATTTTTTTAGGTTGTTTTTATTTAATATCTTGAACATTGGACCATGCTTTGGTCCAAATCTGTCATCCTCCTCAAAATCACAATATACTGCTTAAGGGGTCTTTTCCGCACCTGGAGCCTGGCTGGACACATCTGCCCTTGCTCTTCACGCTGGATGCAATAAATGGTTCTGCCTGGGCAGTTTTAACCCTGCTCCTGCTTTCTTTCAGTTGAATTCTCCAACTTCTTTTTACAACTGCAAAATCTTATTTTCTTCTGTCTTCTTAATAGTTGTTTTTTTTATTGGTTAAGTCTGGAGTTTTTTTTCTTGCCGGCCTCCGGATTTACGTTCCATTCCTGGAAGAGCTAGAAAGTAGATTCTTGAAGCGAGATCCTCGAGGAGCTGGATATATCAGCTATCCCACTGCGGTGCGTGGGTGATGCAGGCACTGGGCCTTCATTTCCTGTTGAACAGGAGATGTTAATGAAAAGACATCCTTTTCTTAATCCTTTTTTGTAACCTTTTAGCAGATGGGATCTGTCTTCCCACTCTGCTCTGGATCCCAAGTCTCACTGCTATTTATTGTTCCAGATCAACTATGCAGAGTCCCTGCTCTGCAGAGATGGGCTCTGGTTACTGACTGTATGCGCCGTGTTAATTTGCAAAAAATGCAGCTGTTGTCTTTATAATTTAAGAGAATTAAGGCTGTTTCCCTGTACCATTTGTTTGGATACCAACAGGTTGCCAACTGCGACATCTCTGACTTGAAAAGTCCTACTTCTACTCCCATTTTCTAGGGAGAAAACCTAATTCCATTCAGATTAAGGGGAGTGTTTCCCTCTTATCTCGAGGGCGGAATTTTGTAACACTGTTAAATTCACGTTAATGCAAAAATTCATGGTGCCCTCTCTTCCGAGCACAGGCTGGCTGCCTGGATAACAGCATCTAGTTGTTAGCCAGGGGAAGCGGGGCCCAGAGCTCCTGTGCACCCCCGGGCCCTGCCGTGGCGTGCGTGCCTGCGCGGCTGCTTATGAATATGTACACGACGGGCTCTGCCCACCAGCCTTTTAAAAAGAGTGACATCAAAGCCCTGCCTGCTGGAGGAGGGGACCCACAATGCAATACGCAGGCAGACGTGGAGGCAGCTTCCACGGCCGCTGGCATCGCTGCTGCAGGGGGGGGCCCCCCACTGGCAGCCGCCG